CAAATATTTGATCTTTCAATTTGAATTTGATTTGATTTGAAAATTGATATTTGAATTTGATTTAAAATCAAATATTTAAATCAAATCAAATCAAATTAAATCAAATATAGAACCCTAGCTTTTATATATCAAAATGTAATTTATTTTTTGTAAGTCAGCCTATAGTACCATCTATTAAATTATACATTAAAGTTACTTTTATGAAGCTTTTAAATCTAGGGCACAAAATTTCAGCATGTCATAACCTGCTTTTTTTTTGATAAATAAAATTTAGAAACTCCTGCAATATATCAACTTAATTAAACAGAACCTTTGGTAGTTTACAATAGAATTTTGTGCTCTGCCTAAACCTCGAATTAATTATATGCATTAAGTTTTTTTTTCTTTTTTTATTAGTAATAGTAAATAATTGATCTCTTCCTTTAAAAGTTACAAATTATATAATAGCTGTAATATTCTAAGAATTACTTACTCATTAATGACTATTGTTATTAAATCTGCATATTGACAATGCTCTGCTCTTCTATCGAATACTGGCAAACTATAAAAACTGTTTAATACTTGGCTTTTTTTTTTAATACAAAGTTCTGTTTTCTTTTAAATCTGTATTAAATCTTTTCTACCTTTTGTTTGATACAGAATTTTATTTTTCTTTTAAATTTGTATTAAACTTCGCCTGCCATTATTATGTCTCAATTGAATTTGCCAACTTCCTTATCTATAATCTCCAATAACTTAAATGAGAATTCTCTTGAAGATACTCTTAAAAACAATGAATCATGCAATAAAAATATTAATAACACAGATAAAATACAAAAAATACAAAAAATGATTGCCTATCTATGATTACTTAGAAGTACACAAAGATGGTTTTTGTGTTTGTGAACCATGTAAAGATATACCTAGTGTAAAAGAAGCTAATAAATAGGCACCAGATACCTCATTGTCAACCATTACACGATATTTTGAAAGTAAGTATCCAGATATTGTTAAAGACTTCAATAGAAAAAAGCAAAAAGCTACTCATATATTCTCATATTCAACGGTTACTAAAGGTGACAGGGATCATGTAGAGTCTCTAAACAATAACTTATATCGATTAATTATTAAAAGTCAACAGCCCTTTTCACTAGTTGATGAACATTCTTTTATTAAATTTGTTATCAATCTGGATCCAAAATACAAAATCCCTTGTCGACAAACTATTTCAAAAAATATTAGAAACTAATTTGAATCTCTTAGGATAAAAATAGAAAATTTATTAAAATCAAACTGTAGTAAACTAGGGCTTATATTAGATGTTTGAATAGCATGTTCGCAGCAACCTTTTCTTAGTATCACTGTATATTAGATTGATATTGAATAGTCAATAAAAGATCTTCTTCTTGATATTATTCCTTTACACGAATCTCATACTAGTAAATATCTCGGAAAACAAGTTTTTAAGCTTGTATGGTTTCAGAAATCTATAATCGCCAATCATGTGAAATGTTTCAATTTTCTCGTGATTGTGATTAACCAATAAAATCATATTATAAATTAGTATTACGTATCAGTATGGTACAATGGTATATCTTTTTTATTGTTTCTTGGATATTCAAAAAATTTTTATTAAATATAGAAAAGAAACCAAAATAGACTATAAGAGATTAAAGCATTCTAATAAGTTACTCTATTCAAAATCTATTTGTTTTTCAATATTTTCAGGCAGACAACAATGAGACTTATATTTACTAACAGCCCATTCGGCAATTCTTCCTCCTAAACCTCTATTGTAGGCATCCATGTATCTCCAGGATTTGTGAGCAAATTTTCGAACTATTGTTACAGGAACATTAACAAGAGCAATAGGAATTTGTTATACCAAGTCAATGTAATTATATTTACATAATTTTCTTGTTTTTCTTTTTACATATCCCCAATATCTCTCTATAAAATTACACTCGCAATGAAATTTAGGATATTGCTCAAAGATATGCTCCTTATTAAGAACTGCTTCTTCTAAAATTGATTTCTGTTCACAGAAATCAGGTTGCTGTGAT